TGAAAAATTAAAAAAAAAGATATATTTAAAAAATATTTTTAAAATATTTTTATTTTTAATGAACAAGGTAAATATTATATAATTGGTATCAGTCAAATGTATAAGCTACAATAAAATCTCGTTTAAAATTGTGTTACGATGATGTCTAAAGTTACTGATAAGTCACATGTTTCCTGCCTGGCCTTGCCCGTGTATCATTACCCTCTCTCATCTGGGCGCTAAGAGAGGAGCCCTCAACCAGTGCAGCAGCATCCACTAGCAGCTGACTGTTGCTATCTGTAAACTATGCCTCCGAAACATAATTTCAACCAATCAGCGTCGTCAAATCTGATGATCACTGGGCGCCAATGTCAGCGCCCGGTGCAGGGTTATGGCTAGAAAGGATCCGTCTTGTGTAAAACTCTCGCAAGAGTTTGCGAGTCACGTGGCTGAATGTTTACGTTTGACAGGCAGCCTTTCAGTTGCGATCATTAACATCAGTGGGCCACAGCAAATGATGGTGAGAAGCTAAACTATCTATTAATTATGTCAATTACAGGGAGTGTGATTGTAACTGTGTGTGTGACTAGCTGGATGCAAACAGGTAAACGCTGTCTTTTGTTTCCCATGCTTGCTCTTCAAACAGCCGGGGACAGATACTTTGTGCCTGTGATAAATAAACACACACACACACACACACACACACTATTGTATACTGTATAGTTGAGTTTTGACAGCATCCATCAAACTAGATTTTTTGCCTTAATGGTCTGTTTTCTAATATTTCTGTGTTTCTGAACCACGTCTGTGTCTGCATATAATGTTCGTATTTAGTCTCCTGATTTTAAATGGGAATTAAATCATTTGAGTGTTCCCAAAGAACCGGTGTTCTGCAGTTTGTGTGGGCCTACTGTACTGCTGCAGTTTACTGTAGAAACGTCCAGGACAAGGTATTTGGAAGTTTTGGAAGATTCATAGCTAACCGCACTGAAGATTATGGAGGTATTGATCAGTCTTCTCATATCTCTAACATCACCAGAAGTCATCATTTAAGGGGTCATTTCTCAAAATGTTCCCCGTGTGGTTTATTCACCATTACAATAGCCCCACCTAAAATAATTTCCACCAGCCGCCACTGGTTTTCTGATATTTAAATGTAAAACAACGCAATATTTTACCTTGCTTACAGTATCGTAATATATTTATTTTAAAGATTTCATGCAAAATGATGCAGGTCCCACTGCTTTGCAAGAAATGTAAACGTTTTACTCAGATTCTATGCATCAGTGTTTTATGGTTTGTGCTTCCTACTGTTACAATTACGTAACTTGAAATGCAATTTGCCATTTCAAGTGAATATCTGGTGGTAAGCAGAACTCACAAAACAAGACATTTCAAGACGTTTCTTGGAGCTAGGATTAACATTTTTATTATTTTCTGATCGTTTTATATGATAAAGTAATAGGCAGATGAATAGATACAGAAGATGATTGATATACATTATAGGCTTTTGAATCGTAACACTATCATATAGCCAGATGTATCGCCAATACACAGCCCTATAGTTAGAAAACGTTACTGATAACACAGCATCCAATGTTTGATTTCATTATACAGCAGAAAACATATAGAACGAGGGATTCTTTGAATAAATATTTAACCGAAGGGGGTTACCAAATACCACCAATATGAAGCAGGCAGATAGTGGGGTGAGTCTGAGAATGACTCATACTCTTCTATATGAATCATTCATGAGCCCAGGAGTCTCCCAGAATCTGTGGAGAGGCACTGTGTGTGTGTGTGTGTGTGTGTGTGTGTGTGTGTGTGTGTGTGTGTGTGTGTGTGTGTGTGTGTGTGTGTGTGTGTGTGTGTGTGTGTGTGTGTGTGTGTGTGTGTGTAAAAGGATTACGTAATCAAAAACAAAGGTAACTGAATTCCCAAAAATCTGATCACCGTGATATTTCTAAAAATGGTGGATTACTAGCAGGATTACTAAAACCTAAGCATTTAGTGTTTGTTGTAAAGGATCAGATGTTATCTCTTCTCTGTAAACTGTTCTGCTCTGTAGGATAATACTTTAAGTGTGAATCTATACGCCTACTGCCTGAATCTGCTTTATGGTTTTCACTTTCTTTTGGTCATTGGTTCTTATTTAATTCTGCAAGAAAACCTCTATGTTCATAAAATAATATGTGTGAGCTCAACTGTTAAACTGAAATGCAGCATTTTCTATCATGTTGTTTTACATAATACATTTAGGTAAAAAACATCTTATTGATATTTATTTTCTCTTTTATTTATATATATATATATCTGCTTTCTCTTGTTCTGAGTTTGTATCGTCATGGTTTATAGCACTTATTGTAAGTCGCTTTGGGTAAAAGCGTCTGCTAAATGCAGTGGAATGTAATGTCCGGAAACAATTCTTCCCAAAATAGGCATCCTCAATTATTTGAAAAAAATACATTTTTTATTTTTTCTAATTAATGTATTATCAGCATTATTCTACACAATAACCAATAATCCACCATAACCTTTGCTATTGTTCTTTGTTGTATTTTATTTTTTTAATTGACTTGTTCTAGTTCATGTTCAAAATTTACATATTTTTCCTCGTAAAGAAACCATGTTATTCTTGCTTTTGCTCAAAATGTTAAGGAACATAACAGCACAATACAAATGTATATTTATTTAGAATTGTACAAAGCTTTGGAAATACTGTTTGTCATTCATGCCAATAAAGGACTGAATTGAATTGATAAAGAACATCAGGTAATATAGTGCAATGTAATGCAATACATTTTAATGGAATATAATCTAATGTAATGTGATGTAATGCGATGAAATGAAATGTGATATAATGTAATGCATTGTAATGTAATATAATATAGAACCGTGTCTCACCGGCCAGGCTGTTGTAGCACTCCAGCTCCGCGTTCTCCATGGCCCCCTTCTGCTCCTCCGTCAGGGAGCTGGGCTTGCTGAGGGTGGGCAGCAGCGGGGAAAGGGTCTTGATCTCCGGGTCTCCAAGCACCCTGCACAGCCCCTTGATCTCCAGCAGAGCGCGGTGGTACTTCCCGATCGCCTCCCGGTACTTCTTATCCTTGTAGCACTGGGTTCCCTGGCTCTTGAAGTCCAGAGCCCGCCTCACCACGTCCCCCGGTTCGTTGAGGGAGGGCTGTTTGAGCATGGAGGCTCCATGGTGCCTCTGGAGCTGCTGCTGCTGCTGCTGCTGGATCCGCGCATCTTTGATCCGGCTCGGAGGCTGAGCGCACTGCCTCGGGGATCCACCGTCCGTGAGTCCGGCCTTCACCACACTCATATCGTCCTCCTTGGTATTTTTCTTTATGATATCTCCCCTGTCGCCCGGCTGTAAATTAGCTGGGATTTGAAGGTTTTAAATCCACTGCATCCTCTTGGTCGTGTCGCAGCTTTACGTCTCCTCTGCGCGTAAACCCTGCGCGCTGCTGCTGCTGCTGCCGCTGCTCGGGTTCTTCCTCTCCTGCGCGCCGATTGGTGGATAAACACAAGGCCAGTGGTCCCATGGGGGTCCTCCAGCAGGAAGAGGAGGACAGCGTCTGATTGCATTATCAGTTTATTTGGAGATAACTTAATTATTTGTTTGTTTGCAAATGCACGCACTGTTTCATGTCAAACGAGAAGCATTGAGAATATTTTCTTTATAGATAATGTGTGGTCTTTAGAGACATTTTTGTCATGTATTTAGTTAGCCTTATTGACGAAAATCACGTAACAGTATATTCATTATGAAATTA